GCGGAAAAGATGTTGATGTTGTTGAAGCTGGAAGATTTGAAGATGACGTCGCTTGTGCTGGTGGTGGGTCTCTAAAAGATTTCCGTGACTTTAACAGTAAAAAAAAATATAGTTAATTATACACACCCGTTTATGTCAGATATGAATTTTTTTTCCTTAGCAAAAATATACCAAATTACAAGGCAATGAAAACTCCAAAAGATGTTCATCATTCTTGACGACATTAATAAATTCATTAAACGTGCCAAGGAGAAACATATCAGCTGGCAAAAACGAAAATGTTAACGCGACAGCATGAATAACAATTGGTGCGACAGCGGCATGCCCTCGATCTCGCCCAAGTACAATATTTAACGCCATTGTCAGGATATTTTCTGGTGTGACAGGGGTTGCCATTATCTCGATGCATGCTACGTAGAGAGCCTGTACCGTTGGATTTGGAACTTCGCGATAATGTTTCTCGGGGAGTTTTGAGTTTGGTTTTGGTCCGCATTTTTTCGGTGACATATCTTAGAATAATAAGTTAGTCAAAGAATTTTTATGATATACCATTACCTCATTATATAAAAAGAATAAATACAGTCGCCTAGCTTTTGAAAAACCCGGTGGAAATAATTTTCATCGAAAGCCTCGCCTTTATTCTGTTCGTCAGACGCGTACTGCAATAATTCAGGTGCAATATCATACTCGTCAAAATCTAACATGGAATAAATATATGTGTTAAATAAAAATTTGGACATAAATAGAAAAGGAAAAAACTTGAAGTAGCAACCACTTTACCAAGCAGATGAACCAATTTTTTACTAATTATATGATCTCGCAGCAGATCGGAATAATAATAATGGAACAAATCTCGAATAAATGACAAAGGAGTCTGATGGTACTTATACAAGGGACCATATTTCTCCAATAACTTTACGAGCATATCTTTCTCCCCGTACTCAATCAATCGTCCAATCACAATATCGAGAATCGGAATAGTTCTTGCGATCACAAAAGAATAATAAATTGGCATCTGAGTAGAAACCGGAGGATCCAGAGATTTTTTCGTTTTTTCGTAGCCGTCCATTGCAAATGCTTCGAATTCGAAAAATTCCGGATACTTTTCCAGATATTTCATCAATTTTTCGTGATAATCGTCTTCGGCCCAGTACCGTGGATTGAAATTCAATGAAATAAAGTAATCGACTCGTGATTGAAATCCCTCAGATTTGAATAATAGGTAGTCGAGAAATCCGAACGCGACTTTGGTTTTTTCGTGATCATGGTTTCTGTTGCCACGTATCAATGCAAAAATCACGTGTTCAAACGCCACTATTTGGTATGTCCATATCAGATTCTCAAGCAGTCTGTATGGCTAATCATAATTCGTAGCTTCGTGATTAATAAAGAGAAAACAGATTTTTTATTCTTACTATTAGCTTTGTTAATTACCAATTCAATAGTGGCGTTGCTATAGTCTTGATCGACCGCAAAATCAACCATGCCGATTGTGTAAGTGGACATACGTGATGGAGGAAGATGTAGTAAAAGTTTACGAAATGCTAAAAAGAAAATAAAACTTATCATAAAATCCATTCCAGAGCAATGAGTTAAATATAAAAATAAAGAATACAAACGATCCATCAAGGTCGAGTCCACTTGTTTCTTAACCACGCAAATAGACCATATAATACACAGTAAAATTGGCTGATTATCATCCCGAGAATAATGCTCCAAAAGTTCTTCTTCAGATTTCTCCAAAGGAACCCCTTTCACCAGTTTAGGCAATACGCTATCTGTTCTGATAAGCTCTACAATCTTTGTGATGAAATTTAATTAGTTTAACTAAATATTGTAAAAATAAATCTTTCGTTATCGACTAATGGCAAAAAATATTGTTCCCATGGAAACGATACAAACTTTCTTGATCACATCTGGCGTTTTCTCAATAGTCTGATTAGCAAGATACAACTTTATGAGATCTGGAAAATACTTTAGTGTATTTTCTGACCAGGCTAATGGTTTAGGACATAGACTGTCAAGTACGTTCTGTGTAAGTTCCGGGGAAATTTCAGAGAAACCTCTATTTAAGAATGAAAGATGCGAAATTCAGATTTTTTTTGTTTTGTAGCGCAAGAATATATCAACAATCACATTCTTAGAATAAACGAGAGAATAACGGTAAAAAATCAAAAGATTTAAACCTGAATTTTATCAGTCTCGAAATAGTCAAAATCATAATTCGTGCTAACATTTCAGATATTGGTTTATCACGATTAGGATCCGCGATAGATTTAATAAAATTGACGTCAATTTGTATCATCTACGGAAAAAAAAATAAAACGTACTTAATCTAAAGCTACAGAAAAAAAAGATTCAGAGATAAGAGGAATAAAACTTACCATAGCATGGACAGCAAACATCTCAATCCCCCGGTACATCTGCCGATGCTCCAAATACGATAATGAATATTTGATATAATTTAAAAGTTCATGCGCACGTGGCAAGAACTTTAGAAAGCGTAATAGTCGAAAATTGAAAAGCTCGAGGATTGTGTGTTGCCAGTACATCAAGTTCTCTGATATTGTTGATGACGTTTGCTGTTGTTGTTCACTGTTTGCACCGCTATTGCTGCTACCTTCAATTTTAATGTTCGTTTCTATCTTTTGCTTGTGCAACATATCCACTTTTTTTAATCTTCCAAATATCTCTTGAATCATTAATTCGAGACTATCAAATATTTTGGTTAAATTGGATAAATTCGACTAAAAGATAATTTGATTTAAGCAAGTAGATATAAATACATACGACCACGGAGCACCGTAAAGCGTCTTGTATACCACATCAAGAATATATGGTGATACACAGTTAATCTGTTGCGATTTGTCCTTGAAATTTGGTCCTTTATCTTCAAACATCATTTTATAAATGAGTTGAGCAAGTCTAACATATATCATAATGATCCAAACCAATTAGTCTATAATCATAAAATGAGGAATCGTAACATATAAACATATAATCCACATACCTATTTTTTCCCCAAATATTCAAATACTCCAATAACTTGTAATCGACATTTCCACCCTTCAAGAATTTCGCGTGCTGAAATCCCAATTTACCAAGCTTGATCGATTTATCAGGCACCAAGTACACATACAATGTGTCCGCGACTAAAGTTTTATGCGCTTGACTTACAATGGCGATCTTGATGATTTCTTGTAGTGGTAGGTTTCGAAAGAGATCGTGATTTGTTATTTGTTCTGAAAAAAAAAAAATCAGAATCAGGAAATTGAGAATGCATTGTTTAGTATTGTTTATTTTATTTATAATTATTTGATTTTTAATACCTTTATAAGCTTTTGAAAAAGTGAGCAGTAAGTCATGACATAATGGCGAATAGTACAACGCAGATGCCAAGGAAGGATGCCGATACTTTAAATTATTTTTGTTTATAGACTCACTTTTAAGAGTCAACTGAAGAAAGTAGAGACATCTAATTTTATCCTTGCTTCTCTTATTTTTTAAGCTTTGAATTATTATGCATTATAACATAAATACCCCACAGGTTAAAGACAAATCCCTTAGATGGAACGCGTCTCGTGATTTGACCTGATTTTCATTATACAGATTGACAAACATGAGGAAAAGACGTTCGTTCGATTGAAGATCTTGGGATATTTTATGCGAGAGCTTTTCAATATCTTTATTATTATTAAGTGTTATAATATATATATTTGTCTGGATTCATGAATTTCTACACGTGATAAAATTGAAATTGAGTATAAAAAGGATACGCCAAAGTTGTAAAAGCAACCAAACCAATGTATTATCTTTAGCAATAATTGGTCGACGAGGTTCAGTAATATTATTGCTACGCTGTTGTGGTGGCGTTGGATGTGCCAGATTGAGAAAATCTGCGAGCAAATCTTCATATTTTAAGTACCTGGCAAACAAAAGAAAACCAAGTTAACTTTAATTTTAGTAAACATGTTTAAGAATGAATGTTAAGTTAATATTTACTCTGAAGCAACTAAACTATATAACTGATCTGTGAGTTCTAAAATAAGTTCCCAGAAGTCCAGATTTTCTGGAATCAACGTTGCTTCCGATGGTGTTGGATAATAATCTATTCAAAAAATAACCAATTATTTAACAATTACATTTGAAAAAAAACCAAATAAATCCGCAATAGAAAAAACCTTTTGTTGCTCTAAAATCAGATCTTCGTTGCGTATACTTTAGTACATCGAAAACTCGTCTGAGAATAGCTGTGCGTACAGCCTGCAACCCCATTATATTCGATTTCACTAATTTCCCCATTGATTTGATTTCTTCAACTGATGCATGTTGGAAAAACAAGTCGCGAAAGTGTGATATTAAGTCGGTGGTTTGCTCGTCTTGGATCAATTGTTGCTTTTTGTAAAAGATATTATATTGTGTTTTTTTTTTTTTAGTTGATCGAATGATCAAACATAAAATAAAAAGAATACATACATATTCACTAGCAAATGGCTTATTATTTGGTAAAGAAGCCAAATTAATATATTCATGAGGACGACTAGCCGTAGATCGTATCCAAACATAATTATAAACGAATAAAAAAGTTAAATAAAGAAAAGACACATTAATTTAGCTTCAGTAAAAAAAAACCTGTAACGGGAAATTAATGGCCAAAATGAGTCTATTTTAAATATATCAAAATTATTAGTGTATGATGGATATTTGAAATTAATATCATTATATATGTGTATAACTTGCCAGGTGGAACCATTAGCTGTGAAAGTTTTTTTCTTCGCTTACAAAGTTCATCAATAATTTGTTCCATCGACCAATGAACATATTTGAAATGTCCGTTTACCGGTTCACCATAAACTTTGGGTAACTATGCCTCCCAAAAACAAATAAACCGTCCAGACAAAATTAGTAATCAAAATTAGAAACCATCGAGAAAAACAAATAATCAATAAAATATACCTCCACAATGATCTGATAATAAGAAACAACACCAACACCACTACAACATCTCCCGACCAATAGTGCATCAATAAATTGATGACTTTTATCGATACACTCGAACTGTATGTCAGAAAGTATCTTTGGTAAAGTATTACCCATATCAAAAATTCTTTTAACCAGGTTAATAATTAACTCCGATTTCACTTGTACAAAATCACGTTCATGTTCTCGCATGATAATCAAGAGGAAACAAATAGCGCCCATCCATATTGGTGGATAATCGATATTAAGAAAGTTTGGAAAAAATCGAAGTAATTGTGGAATTGTAACTTGTGGCTCTTGTTGCATTGAAGCACGTGACATCATATTATTGTTGTTTGTCAAATCGACCCCGTCGTCGTCTGGACCGACAACTATGAGTGTTGACGGCATCGGATTTTGATCAACTGTGAGTGTTGATGGCATCGGATTTTGACTGAGTAATTTCTTGATTATTGAGAATATGAATCGTATTCGAGGCCATGAGGACGGATTTCTTACGAGTAACTCGATCATTTTATGTAAAACTGGTTCCTGTTTTTAACGTATAAATAAATTAATTTATACAATAAAGATAATTAAATTATTATAATAATTTAGATAAAATACCGTATCACCAATCTTTCGTGAAATTTTGTTAAATTTTTCAACGAATTCATTGACTTTTTCAGAATCTATTAGATCCAATTCAGAATACTCGAATTGTTGGTGTTTTTGTTGCTTTCTTTTAACATTTTCTTTTTTCGGCCGTTTATTTGAACGATCAAAGAGCCTATATATTAGTTAATATATGTGTATACTTTTGATTAATTAATTCAATTAAAAACCCTCCTCTCTTTTTTCCATCTTTTCCATATATACAAAAAGTGATTCTTTTATTGATCAAGCCTCGGCCGATTTTTACCAAATTATCAATTAAAATAGTAATCGTTTTTATTCATCTAATTGTTTTTTATTCAATCATACATACCTTAGATAAAATCCATCTGTCGAAGTTGAAGCTAATTTTTTTTCCTAAACAATTAAAACTCATCACTGTTAAAATCATCAATTCGATGAATTAGAAAAGAAGTTGATGAAATGAATCATCCTGATATATCATAATATTTCGTATTCATATTATATTTTATTAAAATCAGCGTAGGAATAAAAAATAAGGTCTTTCCTCTCTTTATCCCCTTTTCCTTTTTTTTCTTCTTTCTTTCTCTTTACCTCTTCATATTTTTTAGCTTCTATTTCCAAATGCTCAGCAAGCGACTTCTGATATTCTTCAGCCATATTTCAGTTTGGTAAACATAGCCTAGCGACGAAAATGTGCAAATCATATGACTTCCGATCTTTCAGGTTCATCCGGAGCAGTCCGTCGATGTAAGAAATGCACGTGACCTAAATCACGTGATACAAAGCGCTTTTAGGCTTAGATATCTTTTATTCAGAAAAATAATGCTTTATTCCTCTGGTAAACGCGATAAAAAAGCACGAATTAATTAAAATTCTCGCAATTCTATATTTCTGAATATTATTATTCTAATATGATAGTGATTTTTAAAATCAAAAAATAAGAAAAAGCTTGAGCCAGAGTAAAATTTCGCCTGATGAGAAATCTTAATGATCATCATGTTTATCTTTAAAGAAATTATCTGCTATAATGAATATCTTAAATAATTATAATCAGATCAAGATATTAAATTTATTATATAATGAAATTATTAAATGATTTAACTAAACTCTTCAATTTACAGAAGTATTTAATAAAATTAGAAGATGGATAAAAAATATATATATTTGTCATGTTATTTACTTATTGAATTTTATAATTTATTTTTCTTATCTATGAAAAAGTGGCAAGAATTTTAAAAATCAAAATCTATTTAATTAATTATAATAAAGTTAATTAACAAATTCTGAATAGCATTTTCATTATTATCAATAATATATAAAAAGAATAATAAGTAATATAATAAAGAGTTAAAAAAAGATATAATAATAAAATTCATAAAATAAAAACTTATCAGATTAAAAAAAAGTTTTAATATATAATATAAAACAATAAATAATATATAAAGATAAGTTTTACTTTTAAAGAAAAAATGATTAGTATTATATAAAATATTTAATAATAAATCTTATAAATTATAAATTTAAAAAGAATAAGTTTTTTAAAAATCAAAATCAAAATCAAAATAATTTTAAGAAAAATAAATATAAATATAAATATAATTTTTTATATATTATTAAAACTAATTAATTATATATTATTAGTAATAAATTTTATAAAATTATATATACATATCTATTATAATATAAAATTTCAATAATTTATTATTTAAATATATTAATATAAATTATATTATGGTCTGGTGCAAAAATGTAGATACACAAATATACTATATATAAATTTTTTTAAAAGTAAAGTATTTATAATTTTAATTTTAATTATTTAAATATAATTATATGCTATTTAAGAATATTTTTTAATATATAGTGAATCTGGATATAACTAAGTGATCTGTTCCAATCTTTTTCTTCATTATATCCAGATTTTCATTATATCTAGATTTTCTCTTTATAAAAAAGTTCTATTTAATTTTGTTATAATTTTGTTAAAGCAGATTATGATATAAATAATTAATTTTATTGATCAGACAGAAAATTTACTATATACAATATAAAGAACTATGCATCAAATATCAAATATTTCTTGAGAGTGATTTGTCATGCCAATTCTGTACTGATTTGAGTAATTTTTTTTCTCAAATTATTAAGTGTGTTTAAAACAAAAAAGTTAATATTCAAATTCTTTTGCACAATATATATAAGCATATTATTACATTCTAATAATACTTCAAAGCTTGTTACAATTTATTTTTCAGAAGATTCTTCCTCTTCTAATGTATTAATACGATTAATCATATCTACAATCTTCTGAAATAAAATATTTTTATCAGTAGAGAAATAAATTTCTTCATTTCTATCAATATCTATATACTCTTCTATATTAATTGGTTCATTTATTAGCAAATGCTGAATAAGATCTGTTATTCCTCTTTTAACCATTTCAATTTCTTCTATAGTATATGTCTCAGTAACTAAGAGTAGGAAAACTGGTAAAATATCTATGTGAGTCCAGGATGATATAACTATTTACATTATTATATAATCTCATACTTTAATCACAAAGTTAATCACATCAAAAATAGTAATTTTTGGAATGATTGTTAGATTATTTAATCATTTATCATAAAGAAGAATAAGATGTAAATATAGTAATTGCTAATAATGTGCCTAAATAATAATAAGTAAATTAAATAAGAAATAAAACTTATAATTAAAAATAATATTTTACAAATTTTGAGACTATAAATAATTTCTTAGTCAAGTAATTAAAGTTAGATTAATGTATTTAGAGGTAAAAAATAAAGTTTGACATTGAATAATTTAAGATTATTAACTTTGTGACTAGAGATGTTATCAGTTAGCAAAATAATTTTGTAGTTTTTTAAGTAAAATATGTTATTAATCTTTTTAAGATAACTTTCAAATATAGAACATTATATTTAGATAAATTTATTATAATAATACTATATATCAAGTATAGTTTATCAATTCTGCATAATGATTAAGAATTATTTAAGTTATTTATGAATAGTAAAGATAGCTTTTCTTCTCTTGTTGCGTTACAAGTTGTGAGTATAGATATATAATCCTTCAATAATTTCTTTTCTGAAACTGATATACAAGCAAGTATTATTTGAGATTCTATTTTCCAAAACAGAGCTGTTTTATCATAATTAAAAATATCATATTCACTATAATCTTCTAGAATTAATTTCAAATATTCATGTTACTCAGACAATTTGGTCATATTGACACTTCTTACTTCCTCTTGAATCCTTCTAATCATCTATTAATTGTACCAAATTTGTGATTATTAAACAAAATAGCAAATTTTTTAGCCTTTTCTCTCAAAATTAAATCAGTTAAGATCACTTTATCATTTGCTATATTTTCTACTCAAAGACTTAACACTTTCTCTATATTAGGAAAACTGCTTTGACATCTTCTTTTAAATATATTAATAGTAGAGATTTTATCAATATTAAGTCAGTAGTCACTATTTGACAAAATTTCACTAATTATTGGTATGATATATTTAAATTATTTGACTAATTTGGCTATTTTAATTAAGAAATTATCTTTTTTTATTTGACAGATTTCTTTTTTTTCAATATCGTAAAGTGTATAATATTTGTTCATAGCAGGTTTTATCACTTTATCTCTAACCATCATACAGACTAGGATTTATAGTAAACTTTTAAATATTAAGTGAATTATATCATACTAACATATATAAAGATAATGTAGCAAGTATGTGATACTTATTTATTACCTGTTGCAACATATTGTAACTTCAAAATTTTATAAGTCACAACTAGTTGTAACTAGATGATACTTTATTTGTTATCATATTGCAACAGTTGAGGAATCATCTTTAGATATACATATTTATATTAATAGGAAAGATTGCCAAAATTATAGTGAACTTTATTATAATATTATGAATTTCATTATAATATAGTAAACTTTATTATAATATGATGAACTTTGTGAAGTTTATTATAATATAGTGAAGTTTATTATAAGAAAACTTCATTATATTCTTAATAGCCAACTAATTTAAAACTTTATTATAGTAGTTAATCAGATTTTCTTAATTAACTTTGTTATATCTGGAAAATTTTATTAGACAAGATTTTGGAATATTAAAAAAACTTCATTATAGTCAAAATTCATTATATTCAGGTTCACTGTGTATATAATTTTAATTATTTTATATAGAAAATATATAATTATAATAATAATAATTTTTTTAATTTTAAAAATGTAAAAATTTTACATAATAAAATTTTCAAAATTTACTATATAAATTTATTCAAAAATTTTAAAATATATAATCTTTAAAACTTAATTTCTTTACAAC